TAGGTATATGACGGAAAATTAAAATATATATTTGAAGCATTTCTCACGTGAAAACACTTGAAGATTACACGTAATATGTATGATTTATCTTCCAACCACATATTTATCAAAACCAAATTACCGAAAACGGGACATAGCGCATTTTAAACAAATTGAAAGAGCGGTGATAGAGTGTTCATGAAAGGGATTGAAAGCCATAATGAAATTTCGTTTGACTAGAAAATCGACGTTACTTACATTGAAAGCGATGAGCAAAGCAACGACGAGAAGATCCACAGCCACTCTTTCCTTCTAAGCGTGCTTCTTTTGCATTTTCGCTTCTTGCTGATAGTTTAGCTAGGCGTTATAGAAATGAAGCGTTGAACACGTTTGTATGAGAGCTTGAGCTTGAGCTTGAGCTTGAGCTTGATTGACCGCCCACGGTTGCTACTCTGTTACTGTCAGATCAGCTGTAATTACACAGAGAACCAATAGACGATGCTTGGGACTAGCAATCATCCTCAATGTGTAAAAACTGGTGATCTTAAATTAGGCAATACCAGCGCCGGCCGCGCCCGAACACAGGTCAAGAAAGGAATGGGAAGGATTGTGTTGACATGACACTCGCTTTGATGGAAGCCGAGAACACCTCTGCACTTCCACGAGGAATCACTGGGATGTTGGATAAGAGGGTTGGGTTTGCAGCAGGGTTCGTTTTGGTAAACGATAAGCTGAATTGATGTCCTAACGATCATATAACGCGAAGGAGCTTGGGACTAAACCCACGGTCTTCTGCTCAGTAAGCAAAAACGTTTGAGGCTGTACATAAACTACGTAGACAGTTTAGAGGGGGGGGGGTTGACAATTATCCACGGCCCATACAAATTTTAATTTTTTTTGTATGGACAATTGTCTACGCAGGGGGAGGGGGGTCAATAATCCCAAAAAACTGTCTACGTAGTTTATGAACAGGCCCTTTGCCACTAGGCAGACGAGCACCTTTTTAATCACCGAGTTGCTGTTATTACCATGTAGTCATATTAACAAATAAAACGATTGACGAATCTTGAATGTGGATGGGCCTGAGATTAGACTCATGATGTTCTGCTCAGTAAGCAAAAACGGTTGCTCTAAGGCCACCGAGCCCCTCATATCACATAATACCGTTGCTCAAATTTGTGTATCCATTCAAACCCGGAACCAACGACAACAACGAGTTTCGCAAAATACACGATACACAAGCGATTTTACCATAAATCTCTTTGATATGTAAGGACCTGGGACCGCGTTTTTCTGCTCAGTAAGCAGGCCACTGTAACCGACGATCTTTCAAATCCGAAAACTAAAAACTACGAAAAAGTACTTAGGCCTTCATTAAGTTCCACTTTCACGCGACGTTCAATGACAGGGTCCTATCCAGGATTACATCTGAAAAATCCAAATCTGGCCAACGCCCACCTAAACCTGTTCTAATCCACCTGAAATGACTAACGAATGGAAGATTTTGACTACCCAGCCATGCAATAGTCTCATTCCGTGCCTTATGGCAACTTGATGATTCTATTGCGCTCATCTTTTGGCACCACCCAGGGGAGACTTGGTCCTGTACCCAATGCTTAACTTATCTCCATCCCACTCAGCTACTCGCAATTTCTTGTGATATAGTGGGCGGAATATTATTATATGAGACAATTCAATGCAGACGTCTTTCCAAATTTGGCAGATCGACAGGTAATCGGTGAGTTACCACGATAGTTGCTATTCAACAACACGACAACGTCCCATCGTCAACGCCTGCTATGAGAATTTCCCATTGCAGACGTCAACGAAATGACGTCATCGAACTATCGATCAACTACCCTGGTTATCGCCTGGTACCTTATAGCACGATGCTAGGAGACGAACCGGAAGAATCGATAAGCTACCTCTCCCCCCGTTGAACACGTTTGTATGAGAGAATCAAAACTCGAGTTCATTTTAGAGCTTCGAAAATGTAGAGGCCTGGTTCTCACTCATCGACGATGTACCCTTACCAAACGAAATTTTTCAATTGCCAGCAATGATTATCGCCACTAGGCAAGCTTCTTTACAAGAGGTATGTAATTCGTACTGGAAGACTGGATTCTGGTCGTTTGTGAATACGAAGAGGAAGGAAACTGGTCTACCGTCAAAAATGTTTCTCGGCAATGACGTCGCATTGACAACTTAGGACAAATGCAGCCTATTTGCTAGGCACTTCTTGAGCGTCTTATTGAATGACTCAGTATCGAAAACAGAAATGGCCTCTTTCCTGGCCGCTCCGTGGAAACGAATCTCGTCAGCTTTACGTCGTTCTGTATGAAAAATGTATGCAAGAAACTTCAAGTGGATGCCATCTACACTGATCTTAAAGCTGCGTTTGATAGAGTTGTGCACGACGTTCTGCTAGTTTGAAAAAAAAATGGATGTACTGCTCCTCGTGGTGCTTCAACAGAGAAAGCAGGCGCTTCTGTAGATACGCCTTGAGGTAGATCTCCCCGTTTACAGTCCCGGTAGTCACGAACGGCGCACTCCGTTTGCCACATGAGCAGATCGCTTGCCAAATCATGTAGGGTAAATGTTGGCTTCGGCACCCATTGACTGTTTTCGGCAACCAAAATTTAAACGTTAATTTCACTATGTTTTCCCATCAACGCACTTCCCTGAATGTGTCCAAACGATTGTTTAGCCTTTCAGCTTCAATCTGATTATATTTGAACGATCGAGCAATCCAGTAATGCTACATTTTTCTTCAAATAAAGCATACGCACTACAAAATGGGGTTGATTTCGAGTTGCCGATAATAGAACAGCTGGTTAACACGCAGTTCTAATGGGAAGGTTGCCGAAGAAAAAGAGGCTGCCGACAATAGTCACACTCACCTGAGAAGTTTGGAGCGTTGTAAAAACGCTTTCAAAACGTTTTGAAAAATTCTGTCGATTGGAATGGATAGAAAAGCAAGCAGCAGATGAATGTAAACAAACAGACACATCATATATGTGCGTGACGCTGAGAAAATGCTAGTAGAAGTGCAGACGCTGCTTAGATTGACGAAAATACGTAAATTCCCCTATTTCTTGACAAACTTTGAAAGTTACAGCTTCCTAACTTCCTCCGGAACATCAAACTTGTGCTGGACGGTGAAGAACAGTAGCCCCGGATGTTGCCGGAAGTCCGTTGACTGCACGATTCCGAGTTGTTTTCCGATATCCCGATGAGAGAGTTGAGAATTTTCCAGGTGCTTGCGCAAAATAAATTCGCGACGTTGCTTTTCGGGTGACGCCATTTTTTCTTTTGAAAAACTGGTAGCGATAAAAATACAGTGTAAACAATACACTCTAAACTACTTCTAGACAAATTTTCAAGACAAAATACCCAATGGGTAATTTTTTACAGCGTTTTTTGTCGTGATGCAATTTGATGTGGGACACCCTTTATAACGTAGCTGGGCCTGCACTTCAACATGTCGATCACGTTAAAGACCTCGGTGTCACATACACGCGCCATTCTCAACCACGATCCACAAAGCAAATCGTCAGCTTGGATTCATTTTCAAGATCTCTCAGGAATTCCGTGATCCTCTGTGTTTTACAACCTTTTACTGTTCAGTGGTACGCTCACTACTGGAATTCCTGTGTGTTGTCCGGAATCCCTACCAAGAGTGCACGATTTGAAGCTGTTAAACGTACTGCGCTATCTTCCTTTGAGTGACTCGCAGGATTTACCAACGTATGCTGACGGCTATAATTTGCTTGGTTTGGATACTCTTGCTGAGCGACGAAATGTATCGCAGGCCATCTTCGTTGCTAAAGTCTTGCTCGCAGAATATGATATTCCTGAGTTTCTGGCCAAAATTAATCTGTATGCTCCTACCCGAACACTCCGTTCGAGAGCTTTGCTACATGAAGAAGTAAACAACCAACTATGCTACAAACAGTTCCTTTGTGCCATGATTCATCAATTCAACGAAGTAGGGGAAATAGATGTAATGCCGGCCTAAATGCCCCTAATTTGGGCCCATACATAAATTCAGCAATCGACTAAATTTTAAATATCGACCAAAAATATCCATTGGTACCGTCCCAATGACGCGTTCATCTAGATAAAATTGATAAATAGCAGATTTTTAGCGATGGGCCCAATCATAGATCCATACGTCAACATTAGAGCCATTTGCCCTATCTGACCTATTTGACTTTGACATCAATGTCCCCAGATTTCGTCATCGTTTGCTGCCAGCCAATTTTTAATGAGTAATTACTTTTAGATTTAAGTGTTTTATTGAGACTACCAAGTCAGATGAACTAATAATAATAATAATAATGATGTAACATAATTCAGAACCCTATAAAAACAATTTTAATTTCTGAATGAATGTTGTTTCTGAAGATAAACCACTCCAGAATTATCTTATTCAAAGAGCAACAGTGGAATAACGAAGAAGATACAGTTGGTTGTATTTCAAAATGTTATGAATTTCTTGAAAAGGTTCCTTGGCGTAATTTAATAAATTCTATTCTAATTTTTAGGAATTGAAATAAAAAATTTCAAAATTCCATGAGAATTTCATGTTTTTCTGGAAAAATAAAATTCCCTGAAGATTCCCGGTTTTCCAGGTATTTCCATATTCAAGGTAGTACACACCCTGCAGTAGTTATAGTCCAGCTAGTCATTATATTACAAAAGGTCAATGTCTCGAACAAACAAAGATCCAGTAGGTGCAACGTAAGATTTCATGAAGAATCATAATTTGTAGCAGGAGAACCAAGCGCTTGAGTGTATATTAAGTAGTGTGCGATAACCGTAAGGATATGGCAATTACGAATTGCGCAATGCAATGCCAGTACAAAACAATATGAAGGTTACAAAATAAAACAAATCACTTAAAAATCCCGCAGTTCAGTGAATCTAGCTCTCTATAATCATCGGTTAAAATGCCTAGTGAAATGTGCTTAAGCCGGTCTAATAATCACAAATTCTCTTCCGAACCAAATCTCCGACAGACGCCCGAAGTTGTACGACATGCGACACAGTATTAGCCGAACTCGAGCACATCGACGATGACACTGACTCGTTCGGTGTCGATTTCGTCAAAGTAAACGACAAACGACTAGCGAAACAGTATGGCATCAATAAATTCCCCGCCCTCACCTACTTCAGGTAAGCCTCATTGTTGCAACTATAAAATGCAATTTTATTGTTTTGTTCTAAATGTCCCCCATGCTTGAATTCGACAGAGAAAAAGAACCCATCATCTACGAAGGTGACCTGATGGACGAAGCTGGCGTGCTGGACTTCCTCACGTCACTCGAAGCAATGGATCTGCCAGACCGGATCGAGGAAGTGAACTCCAAAATCCTCGCCAAGATCATCGAGGATTCCGACTACGTAGCCGTCCTCTTCTGTAAGTTGTCGATCGCCCTGCCGGCAGCACCAGCCCTAGCCGGTTTATCTGTCTTTCAGCGCTAGCCAAGAGCTGTAAATTCCAGACTGGGAATCATCTTTCACACTTTCTCACTGTTCTCTTTGATGTATAGTACACTGTAGATTTTTTTAGATCTTCTCTCTTTTTTTTTTGATCACCTTGTCACGAACAGTAGAATAGTCTATCTAACCCAGAATTTCACCCTTTCACTGATTTGTGATTAATCTGTATAAAGGCAAAGTATGATTAGGCTCGTACTAGCACTGTTTATTTTAGTGTATTGGATCATTTTTTACCTTATTTTTTCTTTTCTCTTTTTCTCTAACTTATTTACCAAACGCTTTCCACACGATATACACTGTGTGCTATGTATACAAACAAAACTTGAATGTTGATAATGTTTGCAAATATATAAAAACAAAACCATCTAAACCAATCTCGTAGGCACAAATCACGAAAACTGTCCACCCGGAAACAACAGTAAGTGTACAAGTTTTGCACCACCCAACAACCTTTAAAAAAAATTGCGTTCATCCCCAATCTCCTGCCAAAACTCAACCAAATTGAACCGAGTTTGCATTCCATTATGTTTCCCTTTTTTCCGTTCTTTGTTGTCTGTTTCAAACCGTTTAAATAAAAACAACAGATTGTCCACAAACTCCTGTTTCCTACATGTTTACCTTCAAAAATCGTATTTTTCGTTTCCAATCCGGCCGAAGCATCCGTGAAATCTCAATTCAGCAATAACTTTCGTTAATTATTATGCTGTCGTCCTTTGTTCGTTTTATTTGTACCTCCGTGCTTACCGCTAGCTCTGTTTACAGTAACTACAGCTCAATTATTCTTTTCACTTTATAACAACCAGACATCTTTATGTTTTGTGTATCGTCTTTCAACATAAACATCCTATTATTCACCTTTCTAGCGTGTGTCGTAAGTAAAAAAAATAAAACCATTCGCGCTTTCCATTCATCGCTTCCGATCGACACTCGCCCACTGTCGAACTGAATTACTCATCGCACATTCATACGTCATCCCATGGATCGTCATCGGCTGCATCGAAAAATTTCTCCTCGTTCCAAAAAAGATCGTTAACCCAATGAAGGGAGAGAGGAAAACTACCTCAGCCCTCCGAGAATCCAGAGCAAATCGATTAAAACGAACATTATTATATGACACTAACCGCCAACCAACCGACACACACACACACACACACATGCGCACCTCGGTGGAAAACTTATCCACCCACACAGATCTCCCGGCCCGACCATGGTCATGAGAAAGTCGTAAAAAATCCTAACCTTCGCAAAATATCGGTCTGACCGTGGCGGCCGTCAAAATCCAAAACGTTCCACCAACCAACCAACCAACCAACCAACCAACGACGACAATGGTATCACACGACGTGTTCCCCGTAAATATTCATAAATTTACACCCACCTTCCGTCAATTCTGGCAGCAGCAAGTTACGAAGGGTTGACCGTCCCGAATCGAGCACGGGCTTACCCCTTTTGACAGCCACCCACCTGCTGGACGTGATGCTACGCAACGATTTACGAAGCTCGACCGCAAGTTTGTTGTTGTTTGGATAGGGATTTAGTTGGGAGGTTGAATGTGGGAAATTGTTTTCATCGTGAAGTTGAATAACCAAATAAGTTTATGCTATTTGGCTAGAAAGAAGTGCTGATTATATTTACCAGGCGCGACGTAGTTAGGGTGTTTTTATGTACCTATTTATTTGAGTAAGCGAAAGGCAGCACTGTGGAAAAATCCTACTTAGGATTTAGAGCAATGGAGCAACTTTTTTGGGACAACTTTATCTTTATGTGATTGTTGTAAATGAAAGAATAAGAGTAACAAAACCACTGGAGAATGCACTACAACAGCTGATCAAACTTTTCCAATTGAGTTCTTTAGGAGTATTGAGATGAATGCATATTCGTAATCTGCAATTCAAATGGAACCGACATGCAAAATTTCATCACTTTTGAAGCACTGGAACTATTTTATATGAGTGCGATTACATGAGCCAAAAAGCACCATCTTAGCACCCCTCGTTGGGACTTTGTATGGGAGCGAGCTGTCAATTTGTTAATTTTGTGTCAAACAGTGAAGTGGTTATTTTGCTTTAAATCATTAAAAATCGAGATGGAAGTAAATGGGAACGAAAAAAATATCGTTGAACTGAAGCCCTTTCAGATTCTGAATAGAAAACCTGTCCATCCTTTCTAATCTTGCTTTTTTAAAAGGCTGTATCTTTGTTCAATAAACATGTTTCAAGCTGTATTTTTTTTTTAATTTCTCATTCATTCTGGGCTAAAACTCATAATGATTAACTAAATTGGACTAGAGTTACATCATTGATGATATCCAGAGACCACGTACGGCCCGCGGACCGATTGATATTATTGATCTTTTCTGATCGATAGAACGGGAATGGGCGATTACGACGAAGTAGCGCTCTACCCTATATGATTGTTGTAGATGAAAGCATAAGAGCAACAAATTTTTCCAATTGAGTCCTTCAGGGGTATTGAGATGAATGCATATTCGTAATCTGCAAATCAAATGGAACCGACATCCAAAATTTCCTCAATTTTGAAGCATTGGAACTATTTCTGCCATTAGATGGCAACACGACTCGAGTTAAATCAAAGAGAGTTCACTATATCACAATCATTTCACGGTAATGACTTCGAATGTTCATCTAAGTTGGAGTATGAGTCAATGGCCATCCAGGGTTGCCATGAATGATTTTAAATTCTACCGGTCGATGGCAACACTGCTCGAGAAGAATTAAATAAAGCTCGATGTATCGGTTTCGTTTCATGATAGCGACATCTAATCTAGACTGACATTTGAAAAGGGCGGAACTCCAAAATTACCATATCGAGAAAATCGCTTCCGAATTTTGATGACCTAAAAATTAATCCTATTTCACGACTTTCCATTTTCTGGATGATTTTATAAGCTTGACATATAGTTAATAGTGTAATCTATCATCATGCATCACTTAAAACTCAAAAAAAATTTCTTTGTCGTGAAATTGAGAAGAAAACATCATACGCCCTGATAATTTCTTACATGTTGTTACCCCCCAGATTTTCCATCCTTTGAACTGCCAACACTGGTGATACGCCGTGGAAGTACACCATCGGGATTTTTTGTTTGTTGTTCCGCCTTGGCTCTTCGTTCGCAAATTTTGTGAGAGTGGAATTACGCCCGGAGATTTTTTGGTCTTCTTTTTGTTCGTTGTTTACACGTGAAATATCAATCGGATGCGTTTCAAATGAATCGGGCGTGACTAGATACTACAGAATCAATACGTTTGGCATATTAAAACAATACAATTCGTTGTTCTGGTGCAAGGCGTAACAACCAGTTGCATCATCGAGTTGAAAGTTGGAAATACGCCATATAAGAAGAAACGTTTTTGATGATATGAAGTGATATTTTCTTCTACTTTTTCGTGTTTATCGAGTAGTTTGTGAACTGTTCTCTCTATATGTGCCAAAATATGGTTTGTTTACATTTTGGCTCTTCCGCCCCTTTCAAATGTTAGTCTAGTAATGGTCCCCAAAGTTTAAGTGGGCATCGAAAGCCATCCAGGGCGATCATGAATGACTCATATTTGTGCCTGGGCCTCCCTTAGCTCAGTCGATAAAGATGCAGCTGCAAAGCAAGACCATACTGGAGGTTCGATTCCCGGTTCGTTCTAGAAATGTTTCGGGTTGAACAATTTCTCGACTTCCTTTGGCATAGAGTACATTAAAAAAATCCACATGTCATCATCATGCGTCTCACACTTAATTTTACGCTTATTGTGAAACACATCCATTTCATGTGTGAATCTTATGCTGTGAACAATGTCTCAACACTATTGGTTCGAATTGTGACACACTTGAAGTCTATGTGCCTTTGTCTATGTTATACAATATTCTACTTTATCGACTTCAACTTTACCGACTCCAAAATAGAATCGACAAATATATAAACAAAGCTGCCAGAGGCACAGCTAACACATGCCCTTTTTAATGGGTCTGATTTGGGAATTGATCCTAGCCTGTTGTTGGGATGTACTGCTGCCGTTGTCTACGTTCGATCTCACTGAACCACGGTTGTTCTCATATATAGTATGAAGCTGGTTGATAAGGATGAAGTCACAACTCATATTTTCGATGCTTACCTTGTAGAACAAGCAATTCACATTGTATTAAAACGCAAATCATTTCAAATCCATCGGTTTAGTGTGATTCAATGTGCAATACATTTGTATCAATTCAAGAGAAAGATTATCAATATGTCAAAGTTTGAAACACTAGAAATCAACGTGTAGAACATGGTGAACCATGGTGCAATACTCTTTAAATAAATGTGATTGTACATTTGAAAAATCAAGTGTTTCAACACTTCGATCATACGGGTGGAATTTTTTGAGTGTATGATTGTACTGCCACATAATTATACTAATGCAAAAATGGTACAGACACCGAAACCTCTCAATTAATAACTTTGGAAATGCATCACTAAGTTGAGAGCATACAATAAGCTAACATGCGATAAGCAATAACAACAAGAAGAAGAAGATATTTCTGCCTTTAGCTGGCAACACTGCTCGGGTAGATACAAATTAAACTCAATGTATCGGTATCGTTCCAAGGTAATGATTTCAAGGATTCAGAAAAGTTGGAGTATGAGTAAAGAGCCAACCAGAGTGGCCATGAATGGTAAGCAATTAGACAGGTAGAAGGCAACATTGCTCAAGTAAATTCAAATAGAGCTCATGATAATGGTATTTCTTTAAGATGACGACTTCGAATGTTCTACAAAATTGGAGTATGAATGAACAATTAATCTAGATCACTTCTGAAAGTACTGAAACATTTCTTAAAAGATTGGATTCACTTTAGAAGTACTTCAGAATTCACTTCAGAAAAGTTCGCAATCATTTCGAAAAATACTTAATACACATTCTACGTGACGAAACAACGGTTTTTGACTGTTTTTTTTACAGTGTTTGTACTACACCAGCAAAAAAAATCAAAAGTAGCCCCTGAATATGATTACAAATTTGGAAAGTGCCCTAAATTTACTATAAGAATTAATCGAGAGTATCTGATTTGAGTAGCTCAAAATGTGTTGGTGAGCAGTTGTTGTGTAGTGTTGTTGATAATTGTAACCTCTCGCAACATAGTCGCTCACCATATCATTTTGAGCTACTCAAATCATACACTGAGGCAAATAAATATAATAATTTCATAAGGCTCGAATTATGAACGACATATATGAATTTCATAAGCGTGACTTATGAATGATTTTCGTCTAACCTTTTATTTTCCCAAGCGTTGAAATACGGGTGGTCAACACACGGGTCCCATAATCTCAACGTCCATGGTTCGGTTCTAGTCTGCTACGATTTATTATTTTTTTCATAAAGCAAATCCATGAAATTAATACTGATTTTTTGTGACTAAATTTCA